AACATCAATCTAGAAAGACAGACAGAACGTTAATCAAGAAAGTCAGACAGAACGTCAATCTAGAAAGGCAGATAGAATATTAACGTCAATCTAGAAAGTCAGACAGAACGTTAATCAAGAAAGTCAGACAGAACTTTAATCTAGAAAGTCAGACAGAACGTCAATCTAGAAAGACAGATAGAACGTTAACGTCAATCTAGAAAGACAGGGATAATGTTATTTTATGAAGCCAGACAGCGTGTTCACCAACTTATTCATTAGTGTGTGTTAATATGTAAATTGTTTTGTTTTCAGTTATTCAACGTTATAAGATATACTGTAATATACACGTGATCAGCTGTTCAACGTTACAAGTTATACTGTAATATACACGTGATCAGCTGTTCAACGTTACAAGTTATTCTGCAATATGCACGTGATCAGCTGTAATACACTCGTGACTAGTTATAATAAACAAGTTATGAGTTTTGTTTGCACGTGACGGGTTATAATGCACACGTGACGATTTATAATACACACGTGACTAGTCATATAATGTAAACGTGGTAAGTTATATTACACGCTTCACAAGTTATACGAAACCAATAAAAAATTATAATATGTACGAACGTAACCTGTCATAATACATACATGAACATTTATGATACACACGTGACCAGTCATACATACTACACACGTAACCAGTTCTTATACACATGTGTAAAAGGGAAGATAAAATACACGGCCATACTGAGATTCGAACTCGGGATCCTTCGAACTCTAGATGGACGCTCTACCAATTTACCTACTTGGTCGCCGACGATCGACCAAGTCCAGTTCCACTAAACATGTGTTAAGTTATAATACCCACATGATATATAACTAGTCATAACACAACCGACTTGCTCTTAACCAGCCATAATAGACATGTGACCAGTTAAAAATACACACGTGACTAGTTATATTACACACGTGACCAGTTATAATACACACGTAACCAGTTATATTACACACGTGACTAGTTATAATACACACGTGACCAGTTATAATACACACGTGACCAGTTATAATACACACATGACCAGTTATAATACACACGTGGCCAGTTATGATACACACGTGACCAGTTATAATGCACATGTGATCAGTTATAATACACTTATAGTACAGATGTGACCAGTAGTCATACGTTAATATTGGTGTAATTCACTAATGCAATAACACTGGTACATTGTAACAATACAATAACACTGATACATTGTAACTATACAATAACACTGATACATTGTAACAATACAATAACACTGATACATTGTAACAATACAATAACACTGATACATTGTAACAATACAATAACACTGATACATTGTAACAATACAATAACACTGATACATTGTAACAATACAATAACACTGATACATTGTAACAATACAATAACACTGATACATTGTAACAATACAATAACACTGATACATTGTAACAATACAATAACACTGATACATTGTAACAATACAATAACACTGATACATTGTAACAATACAATAACACTGATACATTGTAACAATACAATAACACTGATACATTGTAACAATACAATAACACTGATACATTGTAACAATACAATAACACTGATACATTGTAACAATACAATAACACTGATACATTGTAACAATACAATAACACTGATACATTGTAACAATACAATAACACTGATACATTGTAACAATACAATAACACTGATACAATGTAACAATACAATAACACTGGTACAATGAAACAATACAATAACACTGATACATTGTAACAATACAATAACACTGATACATTGTAACAATAATGTACAACAGGACAACCGATATCCCCCGATACAGTATGATAGATAGCCGTAGCTTTGTTGTTTAAATCCCAATCTGATTAAAATACAGCTCCTCATTATAATATTGTGCTACTATCGATAGTAGATCGAAAGTACAATGAGGAGCTGTATGTTACTCAGCTTGTCCTAACGCCTGTGAGAACTACTTCATCATCACGTATGCACATTATCTCAGTTTATATTGTCTATTATTTTACACATTGTATTTTTAATGATTAATGATACGATTGATCTCAGATATATCTGATTTAACTGTTCCTATAGAAAATCTAGTCATACGAGAGTTTTATACAGTTTTATCTCTATACTGTCACACGACCACTGTCGGTAGGTGCGCTTTGCTGTTGTAACTGTTAATATACTTGTTAATATGTTTTACTGTGTATATTTACACATTCCATGACAGAATGATATTAAACATTAAACGTGATCGTAATTTACACATATTTTCTGTTGTTTTTTTACTCAGTCAATAAATGCTTTTGATGAAAAAGATATTATTCATACCTGCAATACCGTAACATATTTTGCAATATCAAAAATATCTACGATATACCAACACATTAGCTGTTTGCAATCTAGGCAGTTAAGCAGACGAGCTTCACAGATCCATCTACCCTCAAAACAACAGTCAGCAGACGACCTACACGTGCCCATCTACCCTCAAAACAACAGTCAGCAGACGACCATCACGTGTCCATCTACCCTCAAAACAACAGTCAGCAGACGACCACCACGTAACCATCTACCCTCAAAACAACAGTCAGCAGACGACCTACACGTGTCCATCTACCCTCAAAACAAAAGTCAGCACGACCACCACGTACAGCACCCATCTACTCAGCAAAAGACTGACATATCATTCTATATATCCAACGGCCATGAAGTAATTTAATCTTGATAACCTTTAATCCAATATCAGCAGATGACTAGGACGTCTCCACCTTTGTATACGTCGGTTCAGACGTGAGTACGATCATAAAGGTCGAAAGAAGCATTTGTCTAAGGAAACTGAAACACAACAAAGACGCATTGAAGATTTAAATAGAAATGGCGTTTTGGTGTTGTGGCCATTTTAACGATTAGTTAGATCATACACTCTGCAGTGTTTAAAGGAAAAAAGTAATTGAAACTAGTTTCCCCCAAGAGTTATAAGACATTAAACGCCTTCTCCAATTGCAGCAAGAGCCAGAACGGGTCAATCAGAATGCTATCAGTACCTATCAGTACCTATCAGAGTACCTATCAGTACCTATCAGTACCCTATCAGAATGCTATCAGTACCTATCAGTTTTAACTAACAATACAAATGTATTTTATTTCATAATTCCTTCCACCACTAACACAGGATATCAGTTTAAGGCCTATAGATAGGAATCTCGTGAAAACAATTAGAACCATAAAACAATATGAATAATGTAATTGAATACTACAAACTATATCTTATTTCCAAAAGTTTAGAAATTCACTTAAAATCGACCGTGGAATCTCGATGTAGATTTTTGTAAATATTTGGAATAATACGTTTTCCTGATACTTTCTGCAAAATCAATGCATGTATTAAACGTAAAACGTGTCGCAACGGAGATACAATGGTGTGAGCGATTTGTATTTTTTACCTGTACAACGATGTTACGAAATGGTATATTTTGTATGCCACTCGACCCGGAACGTGTCCCCTATCGATAGGTTACAGGTAGGGTGGAGATCTATCTCCCTCCCCTGTTGTTATGTCAGTATTGGTTCATACAGAATTCTCCTGATTAATGAACAGAGAAGTTTTTGTAAAATGATTCAGTTCCAGAAAATAACTGACTGTACATGTTTGCCAGATTAAACAGTTTCCGATTACTAAATACCTGCAGCTGTTATTGGAAATTTGAAATACAGTATAGCCTATGAAAACAAGGCTATTTAAGGTACTTTTTCCGGTTTTGTGGATACAGATGGCAGAAAAGTCGACATAAATTAATCAAATTTTAATTTTGGCATTGCGAATATTCATGACAGGAACTAAAGAGTAGTTATGATATGTTATTGGTGATAAGGCTAAGAAGAGCGTGAACTTGTGGACGGGGGTAGTGATTAGGCTCCTGATTCACTGATGCTGGTCCTGTGAGCCCAGAATGTCCCAGGCCTCCCAGAGTACCCGGTGCCTCCTTGGTCCACCACCTTGCCTCGGATACCAAACAGATCAAACACGCTACTCCTACAATATTTAAAACAAAACAACTTTCATGTGAATATCGCTCGATCTATACCTCCGAGGCGAATACACTATTGCCTTTGTTTTTCTAGCCATTTCGTTCCATTGTCGATCTAATTCCTCCTATCAGATGGTTTTTCGTCAGTTCGGGCCTTTAGTCCGACTGTCAGATATTCTAATACCGAATAAACCCAATAGACGATTATCTAGCCACCTCGTGAAACCTAATAACGACCCCTTAATACGTCAGTGTGTTCCTCGTCTGTCTGTACTAACCGCCGCCGAGCCGGTCAGGAGCAGCGGACACACACAGGACTGCTCTTACTTTGATGTTTTAATTGTGATAAACCTTTCTCAAATCTGTAGCATCAAATCAGCCCAGATATAAAGGCATATCGTAATAAAATTTCCAAGTCGCCAGATCGCTTTGTATATAACTGTGTATCGTTGATAGAAAGCTTTCTCATATCTGAGGCTG